GTTTTACCAGCATGGATGCATTGAATACTTAATTTACCTTTCTAAAAAACTGTCGAATATCCATGCTGTCGACTCAACCTGACTTTCGGCAATGAACTGTCAGTTGTTGCGTTAGCATTTGATGTGGCGATGGTGACAGACACGTCAAATGCTAACGCAACACCTGTTGCGTTCAGGAAACCTGGGAGATTTAACATTACAATAATGGCAGGTTATCGAAATATCATTTAAAATGGCCACATTACATTGAATTTGATGCAATATATTAGCAAAAGTACAGGAAAAATAAATAATACTTTTTTTTAAATAATGCAATGAAATTATTTAGGGGGGCTAAAGACATTTTTAGGGAGGCTGAAGCCTCCCTAAAATAGGCCTAATGACGCCCATGGTAGCAGGAATCAAAAGCAGCTTGAACTTCAACGTCATAGAACAAAGAATCCAACCTGATGTCAACAACTAAGTGTAGTTTATTTCTTACCAGTGACTCCACGTAGGAGGAATCCCTTTGCCCATCGGGGAGGAGGGAGGAGGTGCTTGTCATCCAATTTATGTGGTACGCAGTCTGTCCACTAGATGACGCCAGAGTTCTACTTATTTTACCCCGTATGTAGTGATGATCCAGTTTCACAGCGTGTGGGTTTTGAAGCATATATATTATACACGCAGTAAGGCAAAGATAAATCAAATGGTTTTGTCAGGTGACCTTTGGCCCATCCTGTCTCTGTGAAACTAGCAAGCATGCTAGGAAAAAGAAGAGACACTGACAAAGATGGGAGTTTTATTTTATTTTTTATTATTATTATTATTTTTTAATGATTTCAAAAACGGCAGCATGGTGAACCAGTGGTTAGCCTGTCCACAGTTCGGAGGTTGGGCATTGGAATCTGGGCCATGGCCTTCCTGTGTGGGTTTTGCATCTTTGACCTGTGATCATGTGGGTTTTCTGCGGGTATATGGGCTTCGTCCTACATTCCAAAAGCACGGATGTTATTTTAAATAAAAATTATAAAATGGCCATAGTGGGAATATGAATTTGATTAGTTGTATTTTCAATTTCATGGTCGAACTCTGCCAAAGCTGCCCTTTGTCACTGATTCTGGGAGTGGCATGGCTCAGGTGGTAAAGTGGTCATCTCCCAACCTAGAGGTTGTGGGTTCGATACCCGGCCTTTGAATACCTTGGGTTCCCACTTCAAGTGTCGGATCAAGTGGCTGTGGAGAGGGAGTTCAGGGCTTCCCTGCTTGATATGCTGCCCCTGTGTCTTGACCATGGATTAGTGCAAGAAAATGGATGCACGGTTTGATATATTAATACAGACTTTGTCCACGTGTATAAAATTTGATTTGGTGGATGCCGGGCAGGACTCAGTGATGTTTTCTGCAATATTATTCCATAAGTCAGCTGACCTCCGTGCAGCCAACTGAGCGGCCCTGACATTTGTGCTCAGGTCAGTCACGTAATGTATAAAGGGCTTTGGCGGCAGATGTGCATGTCAATTACACACAAACACATGGAGGGCAGATGTGAAGAGAGAAGTAGAGCCATCGCATCGCCTGGTTGCTGCTGGCAATCATCTGCTCTGAATGCCTACCCTTCAGCTGATGTTTTGCTCCTTACTCCTCCTTCCTCATGTTGTTGCCTCTCTGTTACTGCAAACATAGAGCTTGTTTCCATAGTGTACTTAATCTAGATGGGGCGTGTGTCTTTAAGATTGCGTATGTTTGTGGGTATTTGTGCATTGCCCTGGGAAAACTCATGCACATGACAATTACTGGCCTACAAGTACTCACTAACACAGCTGTTCATTGTGAAGGTCCTGCTGTTAATTGGCCTCTGGTAACCTACTACTCCAATTAATGCCATGTTAATTACTCTGTGTGTGTGTGTGTGTGTGTGTGTGTGTGCGTGTGT